TGCTTACACAATTTATAGATGGTGAAGAGAGGGTGATTGCTTATGCAAGCCGTTCACTTTCTAAAGCAGAAAGAAATTATTCGGTAACTGAACGCGAGTGTTTGGCAGTTATATCCTGCATAGAAAAGTTTAGACCTTGGATTGAGGGTACTCCTTTCATAGTCATTACCGATCATTATAGTCTGCTTTGGCTCAATAACTTAAAAACTCCTTCCGGTAAGCTCACTGATGGTTACTTAGGCTGGTGTCAGCATACTTTGATTGCAATATAGAAAAGTTCTATGCATTTAGTTCCAGATGCGTTAAGTCGTATTCCTTATTCTTCTCCCGATATCAATCTACCTGAGGCTAAATTATCTTTATTATCTACAGATAACAGTTCTCTTGATCCATGGTACATTTCATTACGTGATAAAATTCAGAACGAGCCGGATAAATATCCACAATGGCGCGTAAAACGAAAGTATATAAATTCATTTCATCAAATAGTCTATTTTTTAACAAAAGAGAATGGAAAATTTTAGTGCCTAAATGTCAACGTAACAAAGTTATTGATTCTTGTCATATACCTCCAACTAGTGCACATTTTGGTTTCCGTAAAACTTTGTATCGAGTACAAGAAACGTATTATTGGCCAAATATGAGATCAGATATCGAAATTTATTAGAAAATGTTTAGTTTGCGGTGCGCAAAAATGTTCAAATTTGCCTAAAATCGGTACCATGGGTAAAGAAAAAATTGTTGATTACCTGGTCAGATTCTTTCTTTAGATTTTGTCGGTCCGTTTCCGCGTTCTAAAAAAGGTAATAAATGGTTGCTAGTAGCAGCTGATTGGTTTTCTAAATACACTTACATATTTCCTTTGAAGCATTCTAAATCAAATAATATTGTAGATACTATTGAAAACAACATATTTCTGATATTTGGTGTTCCTCAAATATTAATAACTGATAACGCTCCAAATTTTGCTAGTAATAATCTTAAAGGTCTTTGTGAAAGATATAAAGTTAAACAGTGGTTTACTCCCTATTATTCACCACAATGTAATTTTGTCGAAAGGAATAATAAAACCATAACTACTGCTATCAGATGTTATATTGATAAACATGAAGATTGGGATTTACACATACCTCAGATTAGACAAGCTATTAATACTGCAGTTCATGAAGTGACAGGTTTTCCGCCAACTTATTTGATGTTCGGTAGACATGTTCCTATATCTGGCGAATATTACGATTTTAGTATTAACGACCAATCTGTAGAAATATTGCCTGGTGATAGAAATACTTATGCTGAGAATTTGACAGAGTTTAGAAAGTTATTCGTTGAGATACGTAACAAGTTGCATTCTGCATATGAAAGAAATTTAAAATCTTACAATCTCCGGAAACGGGATGTTTCTTTCAATGTAGGTGATAAAGTGTGGCGTGTTAATAAGGTTTTATCTAATGCCGCCGACAAGTTTGCAGCTAAGCTCAGTCCTAAAGTATATTCTGTCTATAGTTTGCAAAAAGCTCTCTCATTTAGTTTACGAGTTGAAAAATACAGATGGTTCTAAAGCCGGAAAATGGCATGTCAAAGACTTATTATCTTATCACGATCTTGACGATTCGTCAGATGAACAAGATTAATATTTTCATTTTCTTATCTCAATTTGTCTTTCCTTAAGCTTTACCTATATTTTAATTACCTAAATTTCTAATTCTCTCTTTAGCATGTTTTTGTTACACTTAATTGACTGTTTTATACTTACCTTACCTTCGAAAAAATTTACATCTTACTTCTAGCAAAATATCTCTAGGATATTTACATTTTATCTGTAACTTTTATCTTTACTATCTGTATTATGAGTTATCTGTATTTTACTTCTAGTGTTGCTAAAAGAGTGAATTCTCTTTTCCATTTGAAAAGTTTTTTAATTATCTGAAAGTAAAATTTATCTTATCTTTTTCTTTTTATTTTTTGTATCTTACCTTATAAAGAAATTTTCTTTATTATTTTGTTGATTTGACTCCTACAAAGTGTGGTTAGTTATTCAGTAACAAGCGATTTAAGCTGTTATATTATTTTATCTTACCTTTAACTTACCTTTTCACTTGAAAGTACAGTGATTATCTTACCTTTAGTATTTTTATCTTACCTTTACCTTACCTTACTTATTTTTTATCTTACCTTACCTTAGACTATTTCAAACTGAGCTTAGTGGTGTGAATTTGTAAGTATTATTGCAGATGTGACTATTGAATGGCATACACGTTGAATAATGGAGTTTATAGTTGTTATAGGATTTCTTGTCACCAGAGCAATATTTTTGTTTTACGAGCATATTTCATTAAGTTAGTTGATTTAGATCTAGCTATCTTACCTTGTTTTTTTTATACCTTCGTTTGAGTGTTTTATGGGTGGTAATACTCATTATATAACGTACCTAGACGTTTTGTTTTTCTTGTGAATTAGGCCGGATGACGATGGTGTCAGTAGCTTCCGGACTTGTAGCCACAAACTGCTAGCGCGGAAGGATTCGTATTGGGAGGTGTTTATTTGGCTACAGACATTTCGATGTACTGAGGAATAGTTGGGTGACACTACTGTGCGCAATCTCAGTTCCCTAGTGGGCAAGTCCGAGGGTACTGCTGACAACTTGGCCATACGAGTACCTACTAAGTTTAATTGATTTCCTAGTGCCATTTCTATGGTTTTCAGTTTGGTGGAAACTATATTTCACTTCCTCTTGATTGTGGAACATTTGGGTTACCTTCTTCCTTCTTTTTTGGTTTTTGTTTTCCACCTTGGACATAGCATTTTTGGTTTGGGTTGCGGAATTGTGTTCGGGGAAGTGCCTGCCCTTGTGGAAGATCTACTCGAGGTTAGTAATCGAGTGGACTTTCTACAGATGAATGTCGCGCAGTACTAGCTTGGATTTCACTTATCATCTCCAGAGTAGATTTATCTAAATTACTCCGAAATCCAGACCGCTTAGATCTTTGACATTGGTTGGTTTTCTTCGAGTGCTCTTCGGTTTATCCTTGCTGGGGAAGTGTTCTGTCCAAGTATCTTTTGTTTGTGTTCGTATTTTGTCGAAACATTTTTGTTTCTATGGCATACCAAAGCGGTAATTTGTTTTTACATAAGTTTTCACTATTCTCTTGGAATAGCGGTTTCTTATATTACCTCTAGCCTTCAGGCTTACTTTATAACTCATAGTTGTAGTTTTGTGTTATCCAGTTTTTTAGTAGACTTACCGATTTTGACTTAACCCGATTTTAACTTAACCCGATTTTGACCTATCTATTTTTAATTCTTTGGTGGACGAGCGCGTAGCTATCAGCTAAAATAACTGGAATGACTACTAAATATTGTTTTTATTTTTTTTTAAAGCTATTATCATTGGATAATGGTTTCTATCGTAGTTTAGGATTTTTTCTTTTTAATCAGTAGTTCCCAAAGTCTTTAGTACAGTAGTTATCTAAGCTCTTTCTTGGTTTGTTTTATTTTCTTACCATTTATTTTTGATGATGTTTCTTTGTGGATTGTTTGAATAATGATCTAGGTGAACATTTTGTTCTCATAAAAAAATTTAAAGTCTGTACAGCCTTTTAATTTTTCTTTTGAGAGGCAATGTAGCATTTTATTTAAAATTCACACAATTTAAATAAATGTACAGAATTATTTTATTTAAACAATTCAAGTTTGAGTCCTCTAACTTGAGATGGCATTCTACATTGTTATTATCTTTTATTTTTTTACAAGTTTATTTCTGGATAGTTATTTCAGTCCGGTCGAAGTTGTTCGTCACTTTATTTCTGACGGTATAGGTATATACCTCTTGCCTACCTTTATCGCTATATTGGTGGTTGAAGCTGAACCCGATAGAATTATCGGCGTTTTTTGGCATTTTTGAAATTCTGTGGGAAACTCTGAGCGGAGTGTAAGACCTTATTTTTACATAATGCCTTAATACCTTTTTCTATTTGTATGGGTTTTATTTATGGTACGCATTTCTGGTGCCATTTTGTTTATTGTATCTGACATTTGGGCCACGTTTGTCCCTACAATATACACGTTGAATAACTGAGGAATCTCCTGAATATACAGCATTTTCCGATCCTGTCTGTGTGGAGACGTTTCTATCACGATCCAGTTCCAGCAGTTCACCACAACCAGCTTGTGACCAGAACGGATATAAAAGGCCAGATCATTTCTTATTATATAATTTAAGTTCACTTTAATGCTTTAAGCCCTTCAGGCATATTAGATATTTTATTACTTTAGAGTCACTTTGAAATATTTTATTCATGTTATGCATATTTCTGATATATACATAGTACGGTTTTTTTTTTATATAAAGAGTCCCTATATTTTGGTACCAAGATCGCCAGACTTTTTGCGGAATAATTAATAAAATATTAATATTCAGAAGCGTGCAGATTTAACTACCATCCTGAGTGATCTATTTTAATACATACTATTTACCAACAAACATTTTCAAACATCAAATTATTCATAGTCTTATTTTATTCTAATTAACATTTAATTAATTATAATTTAGTTGTTAGTTTATCTCAGCGTTTCATTTGTGTAATTCCTAAATAAGTAATACCTATATTCTGAGTTGATTTCCCAGTTCTCAACTTAGAAGTTTTTGAAAGTAAAATGGAAAACTGAGTGGAGCCCAGTATATTATAAAGACGTAATTATCACAATTTAATTTTCACTAGCTTACGACCCATTGCTCACCGGCGAACAGCTCCGTCGCATAGTATTAGTTGTTTTAATATTTTTTCTAAAAGAAAATTCTTATAAAAAAAACATTCCATCATTTTTTTATAACTTCTAATGCTACAATAAAATGAAGAATTTCGTTCATAAAACAGTGTTTATTGAATTCCTCTTCCTCTTCCTCTTATTCTTCAACTAAATCAGTTTGGTTAATTAATACATTGTTTAAGTATAGTTTTGTTAAGCTTTAATTAAACTAAAAAAATATTTTAATTATTTACCTCACCAGTACTCTGGAGCAATTTCATCATCGCTCTGATTCCTGGCGCTTCATCTGGGCCACTGTTACCTAGAATATAAAAAAATAACAATAATATAATGGTCATTAATAATTTCTGTAAACTAGATTATTCAAATTATATGTAATTCGCAATTATTAAACATTTTTCAAACGATTATTCTAGTACAGACAATAAATTCCTATTGTAATGGAAAAAAGCTTCTAATCGTTTCTTGTAACTGAAATTGCAACTATGACGAAGTTATCACCAGAATACTTTCTTGGTCCAGATCCAGTAATGGGAATATCCAAATGTATAACAGGTATAGTGCAGTAAAACTGTGAATAAGGAAAATACAGACCGATCACTTGAGAAAAAGACATGCATAGCAATACCAAGGGTCTAATTCTAAAACCACAAGGGACTGCTAATATTTAGCAGCAATAAAGAGCATCCGCACTACAACAGGACCCTTGACACGATATATGGGTGGCAAGTGCTACGTGAAAAAGCTCAACCTGTATCAAGTTTTTGGTACTGACTCTGCAATAAGTAAAGCTAGAGCCGGAGAAACTGTGCTCCCATTCTATTAAAGACCTATACAGATACAGCCTTGTGCAGGACACACGGACCTATCCCTGTACCGTGCTGATAGTGAATAAGCTTGAATTATCTTTATTTTTTCACGCTTTTTCTTCAGTAATATAAACAAGGGTAATATGTTACGTTCAATAACCTTCATTGAATCATAACTATGTATTCTTAATGAATAAAATCTGCTTCTATTTTTTTAATAATGCTTAAATTATATTTAATATATGGCATATTTATACAGTTTGGATAATACCGTTGAATAATTTGCCAAGCTCGCTAACTGTAATAATTATCCTTGGTAGTCTCATATTTTTGCAAATAAGTCTAATTATAACGATACAATTAAAATGATGAGTGTATAACCGTATATTAAACTGTAAACATATTCAGATTGTGCAACAATTTTTTTTAAATGTTAGAATGTTTTTTTAAAAAATATTTTAATTGTTACCTATTATAGGATTTAATAATGTTGCTATAAAACATAATGGTAGGTTGCATTTATCTATTCTATGAGAAAAATAAAGCTATGGTCTCATTGTTTTTCTTGCGTTGACATTTGTAATAACTACTAATTCATAGAAAATAGAATTGCATTATATTAGAGTTTGAGTAATAATAATTCTATTAAAAGTACTATAAACGATATGCTAGAATGTGGAATCTAAATACGACTTTTCCTAGACGGATTAATGTAGTCTGTTAAACGAGAGAATGCGTGACAGTGACAGTTGTGTCTGTCAGTTTAATTTACAAGATTGTATTTGTTGTCATTTTTTGGATGTAGCAATCTTTACTAATTTGTTAAACAGAATTTAGTGTAATCTAATCAATACCACGTTGACTGCTACGGCTACGGCATGTAATAATGGATTAAACAAACCTCAATAACGGGCATAGGGGCAGCAGGGCATATTTAGGGTGTTAAAAATTACCAGTTTTTAATATTCCATATTAAAGGTATTTTTTCCGAAAAACACTACTTTATTTTACTAGTCTATTGCAGACGCCCAGTACCACAAATTTCAACGCAAGCACCATGAATTTACTCGTGTTGGGCGCTGAAGAATATTTGGTAAAGAACAGGCCCGTTCCTGGGCTTAAATAAATAAAACAAACAAAACCACAAATCCCCTTTTACTCCCACTAATTTTTTCTTTAAAATAATAACCTGGCTTTCCCATTAAAATCCGTCTTTCCAAAAACCTATAAAAAATATTACTTGATAATTTGTCAAAAAATGCAATTTTTTTACCAATCAACCCTCCATTTCACCCCCTTCCCCTTAACGAATTTTTCTCAAAATTCCTTCAATCCGAAGCAATGTCTTGTGGATTACACTCTGTATACCAAATTTCAAGTCGATAGCTCTTCGTCTTCTTCGGGGTCCATCTCCTAATGGAGGTTGGAAATCATCATGGCAATTCTAACTTTGTTAACGGCTGCTCTGAATAACTGGTTTGAAGTCATTCCAGACCATTCTCTCAAATTCTTGAGCCAGGATGTTCTTCTTCTTCCTTGGCTCCTTCTGCCCTTTATCTTTCCTTCTATAATGTTCTGCAGCAGGGCATATTTAGGTCCTCTCATTATGTATCCAAAGTACTCAAGTTTTCTCTTTTTAAAGGTGTTAACCACCTCTTCGTCCTTCTGAATTCTGCGTCGCAGTTCTACATTTGTAACCTTGTCAGTCCATGCAATTCTCAGCATACGCCGATAACACCGTCTTTCGAATGCCTCAAGCTTCTCCATTTCGGCCTTTTTAAGTGCCCAAGCCTCTGAACCATAGAGTAGAGTTGCAAATAAGTAACCCCTTAGCATTCTTAATCTAAGCTTTAAGTTGATGTCTCCACTGCAGAGACATTTTTTGAGTTTTAAAACGATAGCTCAACTCCTGCAAAAGTTATCGCATAAACTAACAGACCGACCGACAGACAGACGGACACAATTTTTTTTTGCCGAAATTGTTTTTTTTTACGTTTTAACACATTTTAGTCAATTTAACCAAAAAAAATTGATTTTTTCTGTTAGGTATGCTGTTAGGTTAGGTTACGATGCTATACTTTTTTTACTATCGTTTGGTTACGATGCTATACTTGTTTGGAAGTAATAACAAAAAAACAAAACAGTAACATAAACACCTTCTAGGGAATTGTCCCTAGTTCTAGGGAAGTGAGAAATTTTGAGTAGATACATTTTGTTATATATTTTTATTTTTTGAGAAAAAGGTAAGAGGCCGCCAAAATAATTCAGATACGTAATCTACGGCCAAATATCTGGGGAAAACTAGTTTTTTTTATTTAAAATTTCTGCGGAATTCTAAGGATTTTCTTTAAGTTGTTCAGCGATTTTCAACTGTACCCATCTGGCAACCTTGATTATAGCACCTAGCAGTCACTCCCTGCACCACCCCCTTCAATATGTTGCCGGCAGATTGCTCTAGACTTGTTTATTCGGTGCGGCCAACGCTAAGCAAAAGTTTAACATAAAGTTTTTATCCTATGATGTATGTTTAAGTATTTGTTTATTGGCAAGAAAGCGTATCGGTTTTTTGTTACAAAGTACTGATTGACCCTTTGATTTTGCGCCCCCAAAATGTTGCGCCTACGTGCATTCACGCACTGCACGCTCGCCAGGAACGGCCCTTGTAAAGAACGAGTAACTCGTGCTTGGTAGTTAACGTGATAAGTTAGAGATATATGCATATACTTACTAGAGATCAATTGATTACTAGACAAAACATCTTCAGGTTGTAAACGCACCTCCATTTCTTTCAATCGAGAATTCAAATCTCTTGTGTGTAAAAAGAGGAAAAGAGTTGTCGATACAGCTAGAAGTGCTATCAGCTCACTAGTTCTAAAACAAAAAGAAACAAATAGTTTAACACAAAATAACACGAACAAATAAAATAACAACTTTCAACGGAAATACTATTTTGCACGTTGCCCATTTATTAAAAGAATGTTGAGATCAAGTTTTGATACAAATCAAAATGTATACGAATATTTTGACGTGCACATTATTTTAAATATATTTTTCTCTTCCTTGCTACTTCCGGTGTAACAGGAATAAGAAAATGCAACAGACGACTGTCACTGTCAGGTGTTCGCCTATACCATACCGGCTCAATTAGACCTACTATAATATTGTAAAACCCTAAAATTAAGAAATTGGCGTTTATCATTAAGCTTATTATATAAGATTCACCCTGTATATAATTACCGAAATAATATAAATGAAAGTAAATAACTAGATATAAACGACCAAAGCTAAATCGAAAAATGTGATGGAATAGTATTAAGCATAAGTAATAATTATACAGGGTGAGTTTCCTGCGATGTTCTCTATGGGTATCTTAGAAACTACTAGAGATAGAGAGTTGGTTAAATGGGGAAAGAATTGCAGTTTTCTGGGATCATAAATATGCACCTTACAGATTTTTGAAAAAGGTCATGACATGAAAAAAACCAATTTTGGTTATTTTAAAAATTGTCCCTATTTCCATTATAATTTATTTTAGAGAAAAAGTTTTCAGATAAAAATTGTAGATAATCATATATCCCTAATGAGTTTGTGTTCTTGACATATGACACAAACATATGTTTTTTTAATTGGAAACCATAGTTGGCCATGACTTCATAAAATGCGCCCTTTTTTAAGCTTTTCAGCGATATAAGCTATAATATGTTTTTTTTTTCGAAAAATGACTGAGTTATAGAAAATTCTTATCATTTTCAAAGAGTTTCACTTAGTTAGCCATGGAAACCAATGGAATCAAGATCAATCCTCGTGAAATGTGAAACTGTCACTTCCAAACTTTGTAAATTGAAATAAACAAAAATTGTAAATATGAATTTTTCAAATGAAGAAAAGCGTAGAGGATTATTGGTTCAACTTTTTTTGGCCATACATTTTCGAGGATACGTTGACCGGTGAACGTTACTTACGTTTTTTTAGAGAACGGTTTTCAAGACGTGTTAAATAAAAGTTAAATTTAGAGGCTCGCACATCAACAGAATAGTTCCAATATGACTTTCATTATGACACTCCCCCCCCCCATAATGAAAAAAAAAATGTTAAAAATTATTTATATCATAATTATGCAAACTAAGGGTTAGGAAGAGGTGGACCAATTGCATAGCCCTCCTCGATCACATTTTTATGCGGTGTGGTTAACAACAAGATTTACAAGTTAATTAAGTCGAGTAATTCAGTTTTAAAAAGATGCATTTATGTACTCAAAATAATGGCGGATTTTTTGAACATTTTCTAAAATAACTAAAAGTGTATGTACTTAGTGATATTATATTTTAAATCTTAGTTTGTGTAATGTAAATTCTAAGAACCGTTTAATTATCTCTTTTTGAGTTGTAAATCATAAAAAAAATAAGAATACCATACCAACTAAGTGAAATTAGTCAAGATAAGAATTGGCTATAACTTGTAATTTTTCGAAAAAAAATATATCATAGCTTTTATCGCTGAAAAGCTTAAAATATGGCGCTTTTTTGAAGTCATGGCCAACTATGGTTTGCGTTTAAAAAAACATATGTTTGTGTCATATGTCAAAAATGACAGACTTTAGAAAACATTGGAGAACACAAACTCATTAGGAATTTGATTATCTACAACTTTTATCTGAAATTTTTAGCCGACCATGTCTGTCTGTCTGTCCGTTTGTCTGTTTTTTAGATTTAAGAGGTGAAGAGGAAAATCTGCAACAGGTACTAGCCTGGTGAAACCTCCTATATGCCAGATGAGTTGTTTATAAGGCTAAAACCTAACCTACGCCTCTGTCCTCTCTCCAGGAACGTTCTTTCCCCGGCGGCACTCTTTGTAAATACTACTTCGCCGGGGCGTTCTTATTTGGTGTTACTGCTGTCTATTCTTCGTAGGTGGTGCGAAGATCCTTGAGTATGGTCTCAACATACTCCGCTACCTTGTTCCATGCCGATTGACTCTTCAGCATGCAGTCCACTATATTTTCTGGGCTGATGGACAAGCCTAGATTTCTCTCGAGTTCCGTCCTTATCTCCTCGTATAGAGGGCATCGGAAGAACACGTGCTCCGCATTTTCGGTCACCACGCGGCAATGGTGACAGTTCGGGGAGTCACTTCTCTTGAATCTCTGCAAGTATGCTCGAAAGCATCCATGCCCAATCAAGAGTTGGGTGATGTAGAATCCAACCTCCCCGTGCACACGGGTGATCCATTTGGTGACATCCGAGATTAGTCGATGTGTCCACCGCCCTTTTGTCGAGCTGTCCCATCTCACTTGCCAGAGACAATGACTTTCAGGCCTCTCTTCTTCACAGAAGACCTGCCGCTGCTCGGCTTTCTTCTTACGGTGTTGTCGCTGGCGTTCTCCCGCCAAGATGTCGATAGGCAGGCATGATGCCACTACACTCACTGCATCCTGTGAAACCGTCCGGTATGCTGATGCCACTCTGATCGCTGAGAGTCGGTGGACTGATGTCATTGTCCTGCGATACTGTCTGTCTTTCTGTCTGTCTGTCTGTCCGTTTGTAACACGATAACTCAAAAACCGCTAAACCGATTTTAACCAAATTTGGCACAAAAATACTGTGGTATCCGAGAATCTGGCCATTAGTTTTAAAAAATCGTAACTCCAAAATTGCTAGAGAAACGCGGTTTTCAATTTGAGATTAGGAATAATATTTGCAACAAAATTTGTAATAACATCAAAATCAGTCAAAGTCGCAGTTTTTGAGATAAAAAAAATATCAAGTACTTGGCGGCTATACGTGCCTCCCGGAGCCAATTTTTTTCTCTAAAATAGATTATAATGGAATTATGAACAATTTTTAAAATAGCCAAAATTCGTTTTTTTTTCAAAATATCTAGTAAGCCATGAACTTTTTCAAAAATCTGAAGGCACATATTTATGACCCCACAAAACTGCAATTCTTTCGCCATTTAACCGACTCTCTATCTCCAGTAGTTTCCGAGATACCCATAGAGAATATCGTAGGAAACTCACCCTGTATATATTTTCCTTTGTGAACTTTTTAACTTCGATTTTATGTTTACCGATTATAATTTGATTGACGCTTTCCGGGATAGTACAATCATTTTCTGACATCCATAATGATTGACTAGCATCAAAACAATTCAGTAGTGAATAAATATTACTTTCAAATTATAGTTATACAATCGTACCTAGTTTAAACTATTCATTACAGTCACACTTTATTTTTTAATTATCTACATAAATTCTTCTATCTCTAACTTAGCATATTATCTGCGTCAGGTCTTATGCAATTTATTAGATTGTTAGCTTTCTACAAAATTATGTTGATATTAGAAATAAAAAGAGTAAATAAACAAAAATGATCGGGTGTACGTTGAAATTAGCAGATATAATACCGATAATTTGTTTTTAATGGTAGACTGAAGTAGCATAGGCTATCAGAAGCTGGAAGAAATTATTATAATGCTTATTAGTTATTTTAGTATTAGTATGTATATTAAACGGTTCGCGAAAATAGTTATATGGTTTGTAACAAATCAGAAAATTAGCTGATAATTTGTGTTGTCCCATTAAACAAAAATGATGACAAAATTGTATTAGAAGACAATATACAGGGTGATTTACCGTCGATGAGAGTTTTTCCACATTTATGGAGATGCAACGGATTTTTGAAATGAAATGTCTTTACGAGCGATAGGAGTAAAAGCTGAAGGCCGTGACACACGAGACGCGAGAGGAATAGTGGTAACGTTGAGTTTTTGATCTTGGAGCGTCGTAACTCGGGCCCTGCGTAAGCTAGTGGGCTGAAACTCGGAATGTAAATGGATTGGTTGGCCTCATGAACCCCATATTTTCATTATATTTGGACTAAGGATTGGACCAAGGCCAAAGACCAAGCCCAAGCGAATTTTAAATTTTAGCGATCAGGAAGACAAACTATATACAGCGTGGGTCTTTAATAAGTGCAAATATTTTTAGGAGTACCTAGTATATTTCGACACCAGAAACACGTCTATGAGTTTTTTTTCTAAATTTAGAATTTTTTGAAAGCAATTTTGGATTTTTTTAATTCATAGTTAAAAAACATAATATCTTCAAAATATAGCAACACAGGTAGTAGATTAAATTTACAAGAAAGAAAACCCAGAAAACATTCAGCGGTTCTCAAAATTTAAGCAAAAATCATTTTTTTTTTCAAATTTTCAAAGTAAAATCTCTCGGATATTATGAACTTATTTGAAAAACGACAAAGAGAAAAAATGTTTCTTTTATCGAGATCTACCAGCCCTAAAAATATTTGCACTTATTACTACTCTCACCCTATATAACTGGTGATATTGCCTATATCTATACTAATATATAAAATCCTGAAGTGACTGACTCACTGATTAATCACGATCCTGCTCAAACCAGTCAACGTAAGAAGCTCAATTTTGGCATTGATTCTAGGGTGTAGAGGTTCGATAAGAAGGGATTTTTCGAAATTCCACTTCCAAGGGGGTGAAACCACCCCTCAAATATTACAATATATTTTATTTAAAAAACGATCCGAAAAAACGCTTAAACACGTATATTTTATTTTGTTTTTTTACATATTTTAAGATTTTTTAAAAATGTATACAGGGTGTTTCTAAAAATCTGGTCATTGATTAATCACGATCCTGCTTAAAGCGACGTAAAAAGATGATTTTTGGAAAACGGATTGACTTTAGGGTGTAGAGGTTCGATAAGAAGGGATTTTTCGAAACTCGAATTCTAAGGGGGTGAAATCACCCCTCAAATATAAGAATATTTTTTATTTAAAAACCGGTGAGTTTTTCGGAAAAGCTCTTTAACACGTATATTTTATTTTGTTGTTTTACAT